AAAAAAAAAAAAAATTCATATTGTAATTTATTTCAACCATAAAGCAGAAATAACTAGCTGTTTCTGAAGTGACCACGGTGGATATGATGCTATTGTAGAAAATGTACTGAACTTCAAAGTGAGCGCTCCTCATACCCTCTGCCTATATCAATCTATCTTTGGCTTAAAATTACAAACAACGTAGCTGTGACCATTTTCTACTGCGGGTAAACAGATTTAACATGTCTTCTTTTCCCTGCTTCCAATTCAATCTATTTTTTACTCAAGTATTTTTACTGGATTCAATGATATGATTCATTGCTAAGACCAAAAATATCTAGGCAGAACCTTATGTTATACTATTCCTAGTTGTCGTTGCCATTTATAGGGCACTACATATGTAAAATGTAGTTTTTGTTTGCCAAAAAAGATAAGTTAAAATGCCACAGAATGTAACACACGTAAGCAAAACATCACCTACTGTCAAGGGCCTTAACGCAACAGAAAGACCAGCTGGGTGTGGTGGCTCACACTTGTTATCTTCCCACGCTGGGAGGACGACACAGGTGAATCACTTAAGCTTAGAAAATCAAGAGCAGCCCAAGCAAGAGCAAGACCCCATCTCTACTAAACATAGAAAAACCAGCCGGGTGTTGTGCCAGGGAATTGTAGTCCCAGCTACTTTGGAGGCTGATGCAGGAGGATCGCTTGAGCACAGATAAGGTTGCCACGGCACTCTACCCATGGTGACAGAGTTGAGACTGTCTGAGCCCAGATAAGGTTGCCACGGCACTCTATCCACGGTGACGGAGTTGAGACTGTCTGAGCCCAGATAAGGTTGCCACAGCACTCTACCCACGGTGACAGAGTTGAGACTGTCTCAAAGAAAAGAAAGAAAGAAAGAAAGAAAGAAAAGATCCTCTGGGAAGTCATTAGACTCTGGGAAGGATGTCTTACCTTTTGGGAGTTAGAAACTCGACCTAATACTGACTTACAGAATGTTTGTACACTCCTCAAATTCCTATGTTGAAATCTAATCACCAATGTGAGAGTATTAATGGTGGAATAGGTCACAAGGGCAGGGCCCTTAAGAACAGGATTATCATCCTTATAAAAGTCTCAGAAAGGTGCCTTGCCCCTTTCTACCACATCAGGATGTAGCTAGAAGGTGCCATCAATAGACATTGCACCTGCCAATCATTTTGGATTTCCCAATCTCCAGAATTGTGAGAAATCCATTTGTTGTTTATAAGCCACTCAGACTATAGTATGCTGTTACAGCAGCCTGAATGAACTAGATAGCCACTTTATTATTAAGGAGGAAGGTCATTAAAAAGCTAAGACTAACACCTGAGTCAGGCTTCTCTGGACCTGGATAATATGTTAAACTCTTAGGCCTGTTAACCATTTAGCCATCTACTCTGTATGGGAGGGACATTGCACTTGGTATTTATATGCCACATTTAATTTCGAACTAAATCTTACTTCAGTCCTTTTCATTCCAACAGAGGGCTGCCAGAATCTCTCTTTCTCCTTCAACTTCTCTACTGTGTTGGTGGTAATTCCAATCATAAACTCTCCTAAACTGGAAACCCTGGTGACTTCTTAAAAAAAAAAAAAA